TTAAAAAAGGCAATATTTTAAAGTTAAGACTACTCAGACTTTCTCAATCCTTTGATGAAATAAAGAAATTAGAATATTCCAAACTTGCAAAACATTGAATGTCTTCTCATTTCATAATTTACAAAGAGAATTCTGACTCATCATTTCATTTGATTCACAAGAAACTGCAGTTCTAGAGATGAGACAGCTTGTTGTGTGACAGCCTAACTGTTTTGCCCCATGTCATGAGGCATTAACCCAGGTTTTCTAGCTGTCCTGGGCCACCCTGCACTTTGAGACAATGGTCACATAATCATATTTCCATATTTAAGTGAAAAACCAAAGGTTATAGCCACTATGAATGGTGGTCTCAATTTATACCTATCTTAAAAGAAAATCTCCTAGAATATGAAGATAGTTTTGATATAATGCAGACAGAATAGGTGATTAGCTACCGATGAAAGTTGGCTATTTAAAATTATGTATGAAGGAGCCCATGTGACAGTTATTCATTCATTCTTCCTTTTTTCCCTCCCTAAGTACATAGGATATTACAAACAAGCGAATAAGAATTGCTGGTACAAATTCAGAAAGGAAAAGCTAATAGAGATTTAAGTAGCTTACAGTTGGGAACGTGAGAGGGTTTGGCTAAGTGTGTGGGGAAAGTAAATGAAGAAAACTGTGTTTTCAAGTTTTTTGCTAGGAGGATATGAGCTTCTTAGCCAGTCTCTGCACCATCCAATTTTTAGGAATTTGTTATCCTCCTACAATCTGTGTTGTCCTTTTCCTGTTAATGTAGCCAAAAAGGCAGAAAAAAAACACTATAATAGGAAAACTGGATTCACAATGTAACTTGATCAAGTATTCTCACTTCTAATAATAAACAACTTACTATGTTATGAAGCATCAGAGTATAAAAAGAACAATGGTTTCTTGGTATTATTTTCTTTCTTTTTCTTTTCTTTTTTTTTTTTTTTGAGACAGAGTCTCGCTTTGTTGCCCAGGCTAGAGTGAGTGCCATGGCATCAGCCTAGCTCACAGCAACCTCTGACTCCTGGGCTCAAGCAATCCTTCTGCCTCAGCCTCCTGAGTAGCTAGGGCTACAGGCATGCGTCACCATGCCCGGCTAATTTTTCTATATATATTAGTTGGCCAATTAATTTCTTTCTATTTATAGTAGAGACAGGGTCTCTCTCTCTTGCTCAGGCTTGTTTCGAACTCCTGACCTCGAGCAATCTGCCCTCCTCGCCTCCCAAAGTGCTAGGATTACAGGTGTGAGCCACCACGCCCGGCCATATTTTATTTCTATTTATGTTGTTTTCACTAATATATGAACAAAATATGATACACCATACCCTTTAGTAACATTATAAATGTCAAATACAGTCTTGATTATTTTACCTATACCAAATCAAGTATTTAGGTAATAATAAATAGGGATTATCTAATTTTCATCTGAGGACACATCTTTTAAAAATACTGGTTATATTTTTAATGATATACAGTAAATCAATTTGCAGAATAAGTAGTTTAATGAGAGCAATGTAAAAAACATATTTTTCCATGAAAAAAAATCAAACTAGAGTCAATTATACCAGGTACTAGTCATGCAAACCTTATTTAGTATAGCCTATGTACGGGGGAAAATGTTTTAATGTTAAAAAAATACAAAGAAAAATGATCATTTCTTACATTTTAATCAGTCATTTTTTATTAGAACATAAACATCCACATGTGATAAAGAAATGAATAGCTTATTGATCACATTAATACTATAGTCCATATCTTCTGACAGAATTCTTACATTAAAATTTTATATTAATATTGCTTCAAAATTATCTTAATTTAAATTTATATATTTCAGCTACCAACACTTTTGCCAATAATCTGAGGTATTTTCCTTTGTTCTTCTTATAAAATGAAGTTCTATGTCAATCATCTATAAATGATCATAGGATAAATGATAACAGCAAGAAGTGTGTAAATATAAATAAAATGCATTAAGAAGTTGCATGACAAATAGTTGCATAGGTAATAAATCTCAGTAACTTGGACATCATGGGTTCAGAAAGATCTCTTTAGATATATATTTGCAGAAAACACTATTTAGTCAGTTGATTTGAACTATTACTGCAAATTATGGAACATGATTGAAAAAACAAAGTTCTTAGGAGAAGTTTAAAGAATCACTTGACCAATGCCCAAGGGAGTAATTCTTATGATGGATTTAGACCACTAAAAATATATTTTGCCATCACCTGAATAAGCCTTCCTTTGTACAGGGTTGAAGTATATGGGCACAGTGCTAAAATGGGCAAAAACCACATTTTAAAATATTAGGTATTCATAGTTACAGTTGTTGCAGTTTAGAAATCCCATATTTGAAAATAAATTAGGAAAGGGGCCTTTTTGGTGAACGGTGTAAGTTAAAAATTTCTTACCTTCATTTATATTCTGAAATAGGGGGAGATAACTTCTACTATTCAGGTTAGATTTATATTTTTTAATTCGTAATGAAACATATGTAGAATATTTTCTTTTGGTCAGCAATCGGAGATAACGTAATTAGTGTATGGCAAACTCCACTGTTCAATTTTATTAAAGGTCAGAAGTTATCTAAGATCCTTTCTACCACTGAAAGGAAATTAAATAAAAGATCGACACTTATGAAGTCAAAGTTTAAAAAAAAGACCAAGACTTAAGTTGAATCTACTGAGTAACTTCCCTGCAGGTGATTTCTGAGAAGTTCAGAAGCAGGAAGTAAGCTCCGCAGGGAAGAGGAAACAGGGGAGAAGCAAGGGGTGTAAACATTTTTTTATGCTAATAAAAAGTTATCATAAAAGTTACCCAACAATGAAAGGAATTGTCATCTGGCCTGAGCTGGGGTGTGCAGGGGACTTTTACTTCCTCCAGGGTCCCCTCTTGAAAGGTAGAGAGAACAAATAAGAAGGCTGTGTCCCCACCATAGAAGGACAGATGCTTGTTGTACCATCCTGATAAACTTTTCTTGCTTAAGGTGGAGCAATGTGGCAGAAACAACCCAACCGTCCATCAACAGATGACAGATTAAACAGAATGTGGTATATACGTGCAATAGAATGTCATTCAGCCATATAATGACATTTTGAATATCATTCAGTCATATAATGACATTTTGAATATCATCCAAAATAAAATTCTGAATCATGCTGTAGCATAGATGAACCCTAGAAATATTATGCTAAGTAAAGTAAGCCAGGCACAAAGGACATATTATATGATTCCACTTAAATGAGGTGCCTAAAATAGGCAAATTCACAGAGGCAGAAAGTATACCAGAGGTTCCCAGGGACTGGACGGAGAGTGAAATGAGAAGTTATTCTTTAATGAATACACAGTTTCTGTTTGAGGTGATGAAAAAGTTCTAGAAATGGTTAACAGTGATGGTTGCACAACAATTGGAAAGTACCTAATCCCATGAAATAGCACATCAAAATGCTAAAAATGGCAAATTTTATGGTATGGATGTTACCACAATAAAAAAATGTTCTAGGGCGGAAAAAAAAAAAAAAAAAAAAGAGCAGTGCAGAGTAGCCGTACCAAACTCATCAATTAAGGATATTTAGAAGTTTAGAATTCTAGTCTATCTTCAGTAAATCAAAATATTCAATTTGTTGCCTCTCCCGTGTTGAAATGGAGAGTGGAAATTTCATGGGAATTAATCTCTAATATTTGATAAGTACATATAAAGTTTTCCAATTGAACTCATTTCCTCACAGAAGATAGTTATTCCCAAAGAGCTGTCCTTTAGCAATTGCAACCTTGACCACAGGAGCCCTTGAACGTTTATTTGCAAGTCTTATTTTTTAAATTTATTTTTTAATTCAGGATATTATGGGGGTAGAAACATTTTGGTTACATGTGATGCATTTGCAAATCTTTTGCACTGTTCTCTACAAGCTTCTGCCTACATTTCAGGATTTGGGACAGAGATTGCTTGAATTAATTGGGGGCCAACTGGTATTATTTCAGTGTGTCAGAAGGCAGGTAGGATGTAGAGAGCTAAAAACAAAATGTTTATAAGACACCATGGGATCATATCTTCCATTATACCTTGAAACGGAAAGAGAACTTGTTTTGAGAATAGTTTCAGCAAATAACTCAATACGAGTTGAGTTAGAAATGAATAGGTTTATCAATATCTGGTATCTCAGCTATTTGCTAGGGCCAGCTGGACCTCAGGATAGCTGTTACACTTAACCTGCATTTCCATTTTGTTTTTAATTCACAGCACTTGTTATGTTTTAGTCATTGTACGGTACAGTTACTTTTATTACTTCACAGCTTTTAAAATAATTGCTAAGTTTTTCCTTTAATCAAAAAGCATAAGTGATTATGGATTAATAAGTTAATATATTTCAACAATTTGAAAGATTTTAATGAAAGCTCATGGTAGCCTGGAAAGTTTTTCAAAATTTTAATATTTAATCTTGGAAATGACTTAGACAGAAAACAACTTGCCTAAGGAATTTACTGTTATACACTGCAGACCTAGTGAATCATACTCTTATAAACTACTTTGTTTTGTTTTATTTCTTTGAATTGTATTCTCTTACGGAGTTCTTTATTTGGTAATATATTATCAGAATAAAAAGTATTAATATATAAATAGCCTATTAAAGGTTCTTCACCAGAACTGCATGATAGCAAATATTTTCACACACAAAGAAGTAGTTCACTTTGAAGGTAGCCAACTTATTTTATGAAAGTTGACAGTTTAACTTAAAAAAAAAAATCTTAGTCAACCAAATTGTTTTTAAGTTAAGAAAGCTATAATGGCTTGGTTATCTGAAACTAAGCAGCCTGAAATAATTTTGCAATCATTGTGTAGAATCTAGTAGCTTTTACTAAAGGATTTCTCTAGTAATATTCATATTCAAGGATTTTTTTAATGAAATGTTCATAAAAGTTTCCTATAAAGCTTTGAACTTTATTGCATTTTATCCAAAGAGAATAAAAAGTCTTTCCAAAAACTTTCATTGCGATGGAAGCATCAGAGTAATAAAATGGGGATACTGAAATTCAAGTCAATCCTTTCTGTTCTCGTACTTTCCTAGAATTTTTCAGGTAGATATCGTCTTCTTCATATTGTTGTGGTTGATTGGTTGTTTGTTTTTACCTTAAAACTTTTCAAATATCCTTGTCAGCAAGTTCCTTTGGTCTGTGAGTTCATGACAAACATGCCATCTCTGAACCTTAGCATTTTCAATCAATTCTCTCGTGCTGCTGCTGTTGATCGATTCTGTGGGGAGGATGTTTCGTTAGCTCTAACAAAGAAATTTTCACTTCTGGTGAGGTATATGAACTCTAGGCAAAGATCTTAAAATCATAGTTTAAGGTTTTTTAAAATTAATTAAGAAAACATTTTTGCTTGATACAAACTAGGCAGACAACTTGACCTTACATAGAAATAGCAGTTTCCAAAAGCCTGCATATGAATCTGGTCGTAGAATTTAGGAATAACTATTAAGAATTACACAAATGTGGTTTATATGTCACGAATAAAATTCTCAGTCTAAAATGAGCTTTGTCCTACTGGGCTTGATTAAGACACAGAGGTTGTAATAAGGCATTTTATATCTATTGGATTTTTAGCTCCTTAAAGGCTGTAACAGTATATTATGAATCTCTTTACCCTTCTACCATTATTACCTATGCCTAGACTAGCCTAGGGCTTTGTATTGAGTAGATGGTTTATTAACAACTGAAGGATGAATGAGTGGATTTATAACACTGCATAAATCTGTAGGTATATGCCTCGAGGGAGGCTGAATAATGTAGAGTGCAAGACGTAAGAAAGAGCTGGAAGGTACCCTGCCAGCCATTTTATGCAGGCACAAAATGAGTTCTTTTGATCAGCATAGTTATTGTTACCTATTTATATTGAATTTGAGTATTTTACATAGGACATATATTCTAATCTCTAGTTTTTCAGAGTAATGATGTTAACTCTTTTTAGGAGGCCAATGCCTTGCCCATTAGGCAACGGGTAACTCTTTTTATAAAAAAGGAAACAAAGATTCCATGAGGTCTTGAAGGCATGAGCTTTGAAGCACTAAAAAAGTAATTTATCCTATTTTGGCCTCAGTTTCCTTATCTGTGGAATAAATAGATAAAGACCAAATGGTTGTCAAGGTTTATTCTGGATCAGAAACTCTTCCTGTAACTTGATTTTTTTTTTTTGGTGGGTGGAGGGACAGCTTTACTTACATGAGCTATAATTCACATACCATAAAATTAGCTCAAAGTGCACAATTTAGTGATTTTTAATATATTTGCAGAATTGTGAACCATCACCGCTATTCAATTCCATAACATTTCCATCACTCTATTATCAGTCAAGCCCAGGTCTCTGTCTTTTCAGTCCTTGACAAACACTGGCCGATTTCCTGCCTCCAATGAATTTATTTTTTCTGGATGTTTCATAAAAACTGAGTCATGCAATATGTGGTATTTTGTGACTGGCTTCTTTCATTTAGCAAAATGTTTTCAAAGTTCCTCCGTATTTTAGTATGCATCAGTACTTCATCGTTTTTCCTGAAAAATATATTTGTTTATCTATTAATCTATTGATAGATATTTGAAGTGTTTCAACTGTTTAGCTATGATAAATCATGCTGCCATGAATATATATCTAGGATTGGAATTGCTAGATCACATGGGAGCTTCATTTTTAACATTTTGATGAGGTGTCTGTTTTCTAAAGTGGATGCATTATTTATGAATACATGCCCATCTATAATGAATGAAGGTTCATTGTGAGGATTAAATGAGATAATATACATTATCTCAATTTATGTATCTCACATGTATCTTAATATATTATCTCAATTATCTCAATATACAATGAGATAGTGTACAACATTTAGTACATTGCTTGTTATATATAAAACAAACACTTGTTGAATGTTTATTATGTAACAGTTTTGTGCTAAACATTTTATGCATAAACACATACTCATATGATATTACCATGACTACTATTGTATGGCTATAGTTCTATCTGTACCTAGATATTTCAGATTTTCACTGGCTGCCTGACAGGACCATGCAATACTGGTATTAGGAATTTCTTCTCCAATTTATTTTCTAATGTAAGTTGTAGTAACCTCTTATCCAAGAATTTTTCCTTTTTCCTATTTATCTGATCTTCTAAATTCTAAAATAGAGGTAGAACTATTTTTGTTGCAGAGTCTTGATTTTTATAGAAAGAAGCAGATTCCAGAAACACTTGTTGGAAAATAACTATATTCATGGGTTTTTACATATTTTATCTCATATTATCCTCCCATATGGTTAGTATATGTTCCTTAAAAAGTTCATGTGTTGGAAACTTAATTGCTATTGTAAAAGGATTAAGAGGTGGGGCCATTAAGAAGTGATTAGGTTATGAGGGATCTTCCTTCATCAATAAATTAATGCTGTTATTGTGGGAATGGATTAGTTATCATCAAAGTGGATTCTTAATAAAAAAAAGATGAGTTCAGCCTTTTTCTCTCTCTGTCTCACACGGTCACTTGTCCTTTCCCCATGTTGTGAGGCAGAAAAAAGAAGGCCTTTGCCAGATGCAGCTCCTCCATCTTGTACTTCCCCACCTCCAGAACCATTAGCCAATTAAATATTTTCTCTTTGTAAATTAGCCAGTCTGTAGTATTCTGCTATAGCAGCAGAAAAGAAATTAAGACATCCTCTCAATAAATGTACATGAATGTATAAACTATTATGCAAATAGGGAAGTGCAAAGTCAGAGAAGTAAATTAACTTGCTCAAAATCACACAATTAAGAAGTAAAAGAAACATTCATGAGGCCGGGCGCGATGGCTCACGCCTGTAATCCTAGCTCTCTGGGAGGCCGAGGTGGGCGGATCGTTTGAGCTCAGGAGTTCGAAACCAACCTGAGCAAGAGCGAGACCCCATCTCTACTATAAATAGAAAGAAATTAATTGGCCAACTAATATATATAGAAAAAATTAGCCGGGCATGGTGGCACATGCCTGTAGTCCCAGCTACTTGGGAGGCTGAGGCAGGAGGATCGCTTGAGCCCAGGAGTTTGAGGTTGCTGTGAGCTAGGCCGACGCCACGGCACTCACTCTAGCCTGGGCAACAAAGTGAGACTCTGTCTCAAAAAAAAAAAAAGAAAGAAACATTCATGAGAAATTTGGTTTAGTTCTGAAGTCTCTAATCTTCTCACTACTCTGTGAACTTTCAGGAAGAGTGTAGGACTCATTCCCACTGCTCCTGCCCTCACTTGGCATGTAAATTTAATAATACAGAATTTGCTTTTGCTTAATGCCCTATCCCTAGTACCTAGAACAGTGCCCAACATACAATAGGCAATCTTCGAATGTGGACTGATAAAACAGCTGTGACAATGAATTTACCATTTCTATCTTTAATTTACCTTTAAATTTGAATTTACGGAATAAGAGCTATCACACATGTAGAATTTTCTTTCACATGTTGTTGGCACACGTTGTTGAATCTCCCCAATCTTTTGGCCCAAGGTCATTTCCTAAAATGAGACAAAATTTAAAGAATCACTAAGCAAGATTGGTAGTCCATATCTCAATAGCAGAAAACAATAAAGCTGTGTTGGGTTGCTTTATACTTCCTAATAGAGAAGCTCACTTCTAAATGATTGCCTCTCGTTATTTAGTCGCATGGTGGATACAAATTAAATTAATGTATTGGTGCAGTTACAAATTAATGGCAAATCAAGGACTTGCAGAATTACTTGTAAATAGTGTGTCTGTTCTTTTTTGGGAATACCAAGGGTCTAACCAGGTCATTCAAACACGACACATGGGTGCTACATCGATTGGCATGGAAAAAGCTAGGAAATTACTGTGTACAAGAGATCTTTTGAAGAAGCAGTTACCATAGCAACTGTGGCCTCATAGACTGTATAGAATGATAGAATTTATTTCAGTGTAATTACACACCCTTTGATGAGCATCCTTCCCCAGGACATACTGAATCCATGTAACATAGCTATACAAAGAAAATTATCTAAATTGGAAAGGACTCTTCTCTTTAATATATGCTGATTGAAGTTTGAATATCAGTATTTGATATGAAATGATCTTTGTAGTTACCCTTTCAGAGACATTTGGTTAAAACATTCCATGTAAAAATCTAAATATAGTCACCCTTGTGATATGAATACAAATAAAAGACGAGAGAATATAAATGTGCAATGTGCTATTTCTACAGGATCATAAAATTGTTACCCCTGGCTTTTCAAATAAATTAAACATTGCTACAACTACTAATTGAATTAGTATTGAGCTCATTTCTTTTCTTTCTATTTGTGAGCTTTCCGTTGAGATATTCAAATTCATAGCTTTAATTGCAGAAGCAGTACAGAGCTTCTCTTCTAGTTAGTTTTCTAAATAGTAAAGTTGACTATTTTAAAACAAATGCTAAAGTGTACCTTCATTTTGGGCCATTTTCATTTTGAAGCAGAAAAGGTTTCTGTTTACATAGACAGAATGAACTTTTAAAATCCCAGCTTCTAATCAGCAAGTGTACATTACTGTAGTCACAAGTAACAGTCTGTGGACCACAATCCCATAATTACTGTGCTGAAAGACATTTTTGTCACTTGATAACAAGAAAATGGATCAAAAGCACATCTCCCTTGGTGTTTATGCCTCTGACAACTTACAATATGGTTTGCAGACAGAAGGAGCTTTTCAAGGAACTGTGACATTTTCCTTTTTTGCTGTGACCCAACTAAGAATAAAACTCCTGTCAGGTCTGATTCAGGGACCTGATATTTTAACCCCTTCTCTGCCATAGGAAATGACATTCAATAAGCTACTTGTGTTGTCACATATTGGATTCATAATTTAAAACTGATACTTGAGTGTCTATTTCCTCTTACCTAACTGGGATACGTGCTGTGAAATGAGATTTAGCCTCATAAAAATGGACTTTCTATTTCTATTAAATTTAAACTTTATATTAAGCTTAAATATTATTACTTTATACTCTCAGTGGGGCTCATCAGAAGAACCCCAAGAGGAGTCCTATAACTCTAAACTATTAAAAGTGGTAAAAATTAAGCTCAGCTCATCATTTTAGCTGACTCATTCCAGCAAGAAATCTGGGGGGGGGGGTGTGATTTTTTAAACCAGCAGGGAAAAATGCCAAGAACACTTTCTTAAGAAAATGGAATTAAACCTTACTGTCCCAGTCCTGCTAACAACTGTGCCTCATCTCTGCCCCCTAGCAGCTGACTGGAATGAGAAGTAAAGCCAGGGTAAAACCAGAGGAAAAAGAGAGCTGCCTCAAATAGATGGGGCAAGACATCTGGTGCTGTGGCCTGATCCCTTACCGCATTTTGTCCCTTCTCCCCCAGTGAAGAGAACACATAAAAGAGATGTGTAGAGTTCATACTCTCTTCCATTTTTGCCTTTATTCTGAGAGCCCGCAATATCCAGTTTTAATTTGCACAATACTGATCCATTCATCTCTTGTTCAGGCGGCATCCGTGTTCTCTTGGCCCGTACGGAAGCCACCCAGAGGCTGGCAGGTGGCTCATAAAGGGCTGCAGATGTGCTTCAGTGTATTTTAAATGTGTAGCTCTATTCACTGTCTGGTTTCCTTTTTTGATTATGAGCCATCTGTAATTTTCAATCTGTTCTCAAGATTGCGTTTTGCACTTTATTCAGTGACAACAGGACTATCTGTAACTCTCCATATGTGACAAACTAGGGGTGAATTAAGACTCTTTGACACCTCGCCCCATACTCTCATGATAACAGGCATGTGCAGGTAGCAAAATAGTGAGTATAATTTCCTGAAGCCCGGTCTACCTCCCAATATAATACCACAACTTGGAAAAGCATCATTCCCTTGAAACACTTCTCAACATTTAAATTTATTTTCCTAACTATTCTTTGGAATAGTTAATAATAAAGGGGATAAAATGCAGGTTAGTATAGCCACACTAACAAGAAGAGAAGTTCTATAATTCTTTTGTTTAATTGTAGGAGATATTCTCTGATGATTCAAACTTGGTTTGCCATCTAGTCTGTCTATATTGTTCTTTAAAAATGGTCATAGCATTTACTACCACTTAATATTTTCTAATTTATTTGTTTATTGATTGTCTCCTTCTCTTCCCTCATAATGTAAGCCCCAAAAGGGTAGGAGCTTATTCATGTTTAAATTCTTTTTGCTGGAAAAATCTTGTTTATAATACGTGCTTAATGTTATTGCGTGAGGAAATATATATATATATATATATATATATATATATAAAATAATATCTTTGGAAATCATTTTCTTCCTGTTATTATAGAATTCCTGGCATTTGTCTAGGGTGGAAGGGAACAGAGAGTCCTGAAAGAAGGATGGGGACTGAAAGAAGGACTAGGGTTAGGGTTAGGGTTAGTCTTGAAATAAGTACTCAAAACAAGTCCTGAGTCCCCAGGAAAAAGACACACTCTGTGATGCTTATAGAACAGGTAAGGTCAGTGAAAAAAGGTTAGTGAACCAAAGGGAAGATGAAAAGGGATAAGAGATAGACAGTGGGATTTCTTCTTTTCTTTTCTTTTTTCTTTTCTTTTCTTTCTTTTTTTTTTTTTGAGACAGAGTCTCACTCTGTTGCCCAGGCTATAGTACCATGGCGTCATCCTAGCTCACAGCAAACTCAAACTCCTGGCCTCAGGCGATCCTTCTGCTTCAGGCTCCCAAGTAGCTTGGACTACAGGCATGTGCCACCATACCCGGCTAATTTTTTCTATATATTTTTAGTTGGCCAATTAATTTCTTTCTATTTTTAGTAGAGATGGGGGTCTTGCTCTTGCTCAGGCTGGTTTCGAACTCCTGACCTTGAGCGATCCACCTGCCTAGGCCTCCCAGAGTGCTAGGATTACAGGCATGAACCACCACGCCCTGCCGACAGTGGGCTTTCTGTTTACTATCTTGGGCATAGTTACTAACTACGCCATTTGGGATCCTGGGGTAAAATGTTTCTGAAATGTGGTAGCAACAGCAGATGCAATTCCATGATTGTTAGACCACTTGGCTCACAGAGTGATCCTATTTTTGGAGATAATTTCCTTCATGCCAAAGATGTGGCCACATCTTTCAGTGATGTTGCTTTGATCTTTTTTTAAAATTTTATTTCAGAGTATTACCAAAGGAAGAAAATGACATTTTATTAATAAAACACCTGCACCCAAATGGTTATAGCCACATAATTCACAATTGCAAAAATGTAAAAACAACCCAAGTGCCTGTCAATACATGAGTGGATTAATAAAATATGGTATATGTATACCATGGAGTACTACTCTGATGCTTTGGTCTTTATCATTGCTTAGCTTTTCATTTGAGGTAAGGGTCCCAAGAGGCTGTGAGTTCAGTGAAGGCAAGTGCAAACTGTCCCTGACTCACACAGAATTGTCACAACATGCAGTTTTTATGTAATAAATTTCCACTCAACCTCTATTGTCAACTGTGTTGATTTAAAGTGTCTTTCATCACCTACATAGTAATCCTGACAATACGTTTCACTTGAATGTCTTATTGAGTAAACAATCAGAAGTGTCCAAATTGTGGGAAATTCTGCAAAACTGATACGCTATATTCTTTAAAAATATCAATATATGAAAAGTTAAAAAGCTGAACACTGCTCTAGATAACAGAGACATGGTATCTAAATTAATCCATGGATAACTCTAGATTGGATTCTTGGTTGAAAGAAAGATAATCCATATAGGTCATTATTTGGGCAGTGAGAGAAATTTGAATAGGGAAAGTAGGACAGTAAATAATAGTGTCACATTTATGTCAAATTTCCTGAGCGTGATACTTGTGTTGCATTTTTTTTGTGGAAAAAATTATATTCTTAGGATATATGTGTAAAATGCTTAGGGGTAAAATCTCATATAAGATTATGTCTTCAAATGATCCAAAAGCTTTACTTTAATTTATTGCTAACTAGAGAGAGAAAGATTAACAGAGGGAAGGAGACAGAGAGAGAATGAAATAAATGCTAAAAGGTGATGAATTTGGGGCAAATAATATGGATGTTCAATGTACTATGCTTGCAAAACTTCCATGATTGGAAGGTATTTAAAATAAAGTGTTTGGATGAAAAATAAAATAAATGTAAAAGAAGGAATAAATGAAATTGTGTCTTGAAGGTGTTATTTGTATGTGCGCTTTGTTTTTTTTTGGAAGGGAGAAAGGCCTTCAAGAAGAAAGATGACTCACTATATTTTAAAAGCCGATGTTTTCTATGATTTGAAAATCTTTTCCCCAAAATAGTAAATTTTAAGCAAGTATTTGCTATCTTGATTATTTAAAGACATTTTGAAATATGGGGAATGTCTCCTATTTAGTAACAAAAAAAAGAGAAGGATTCTGTTTCCTAAGAATTCATAGGCTATACTTCTGGGATTATAATTTTATTATGAATATAACACATAAGTAATCAATTAAATTAGAGCAAATATATTAATATTATATAGCTTTATCTTTAGCAGTGGAGATTTG